TTCAAAGCCAGCCTGGGGAAATAGTTTGTGAAAAAACCCATCACAAAATAGGGCTGGTGGAGTGGCCCAAGTGGTAGAGTGCCTGCCTAGCAAATGTGAGGCCCTGAGTTCAAACCCCAGTACCGCCAAAAAAAAAAAAAAGAAAAGAAACCTTTGACTCTATAGCCTCAGATTAGGGCAGTGACAATGCTGGGTATCTCTGACTTATTGAACCAAATCCACATTCTCAACCCAGGACTTTGTAAGACAGACAACCCCTTCTAGTAAGGTAGGGAGGTAAGGAGAATATAGGCTCCTCAGGAAGGGTTTCCACTCAGCCCCAGGCATGACAACACCAGGAGAGGCCTCCCTTCTGGGTCCATCTGGTCTACCCCAGTGATATAGAAAGAGATATTTTCAATGCTGCTGAAATGCCCTACTTTGCCCTGGGCAGAGAACCACCACTTTCTGTATGTGTTGGGAGAAAGCTGGCTCTGCCAGCCATGAATGTGTGAACTCACACATGTGCATTGCTTAATACCAGTTCTGGCATCTTCTAAGGGATCACAAATGCTTGTCCTTGAGCTGGCATAATGGCTCAAGTAGTAGAGCGCCTGCCTAGCAAGCATGAGGCCCTAAGTTCAAACCCCAGTCCCATAAAAAAAAAAAAAACCCAAAAAACAAAAACCCCACAAATATATAAATAAATAAAACAAATGCTTTTGCTCTCAAAACAATTAGGACAGTTTTGGAAGTCTGCAGATGACACCTAACAAGGGCCTGTTGATGGCCTGCCATTCAGCCCTCACCAAACATTGTGGGTCCTCTTTTCCCAAAGAGTTAAATGTTGAGTCCTCTATAAAGAGGGTACCAGAGCCGAGCACTGGTGGCTCACACCTGTAATCCTAGCTACTTGGGAGACTGAGATCAGGATCATGGTTTGAGGCCAGTCTAGGCAAGTAATTCACGAGACCCTATCTCCAAAATAACCAAAGTAAAATGGACTCGAAGTGTGACTTAAGCAGTAAAGCCACACTGCTTTGCAAGTGCAAAGCTCTGAATTCAAATCCCAGTCTCATAATAAAAAAGAGGGTGCCAGAACCAGCAGGCTGCAGTTTTATCTCAGAATCCAGAGCTGCAGAGGGTTCCTGTGACCTCCCTGTGAAGATCTTATGGCCCATACCAAGAGTAAGGCTGGTGACCTCTGCCACCTGCCAGCCTCACTTGGAAGAGACTGAGTTTCTGAGGGGCTTGAAGAGGCAAGAGGACTGCTGATAGCAGGTCTTGAGCATTTGATCAGTCCAGCACTAGCCCTGCAGCCAGCATGAAGGAGGAGGTGCCAAGGCATACAATGGCTGTGCCCAGTCCTTCCCCTGGCTCTGGCTGCCACACTACTTCTGTCTGTATTTATCTCCCCCTGCCCTCCAGCCTGATTACTTCTTTGGATCTACCCTCGATTCATGTACCTTAAACTCAGTTTCTCTAGATTTGCTGATCTATATACTTTCCTGGGGCTCAGCTCCTCTTGACCTTAACAAACCCCAAGGTAGAGGGCCTCTACCTCAATGCTGATTGATCTGGCTCCCCACTCCCCTCCCCTCCTGCTGCCCTTGGCTCCCTCCAGGAGGCACAGAGCTAATCAGGCTGATTATCATCCAAGTTCAATTCCACTTTTCCTGGCTCCAGCACGCTGTAAATTTCCTTTGCTGCCTGGCTCCCCTGTGAGTCCTGCCTCTTGTCATGCAGACCAGCTTAGGAAGTCACCAGGCCCCCCTACCCCCCCCACACCTGCTGTATCATCACAGATGAATCAGACCTGCCCGATGTGGAGGTGTCATTTAAATACCCCCACATTTAAACACCAATGACATCATCATCAGTAGCAAAATGACATGGATCATTCCGGGGTTCTAAAACACCAAGTTGCTCACTGTTACCTAAAAGAACATATTGTACTCTGATGGCAAGAGATCTGAGCTCTCCAAATGCTTTGAAAAATTATTTTCCTCATCTCTACATATATCTAGGGTAGGTGAGTGGCATTAGTTGTAGCTGTTTTTTCAGGAGATGATCCTTGAACCTGCAGTCTCAAGATTCTTATCCCAAGGAGAAGGAGGAAGAGGTGGAAGTTCTGGATGCTGTGCTTAATTTCAAACCTGAGGCCCCCTGGGATGGAGAAATCAGCTTTCTTTTGTCTTGATCCCTTCCAGAAATGGGGAAGTTTGGCCAGGGAAGGAAAGCAGAAAACTTTGTGGAGATGAGTGTTGATTCAATTAAGTTTACCAGGCACTAAAATCATCTTCTTTGTGCACATCTTCTGTGCACAAAGCACTGTGTTAGATACTGTGGGGTGCAGAGGGAGCAAAGTCCCATCCCCTCACCCTCAAAGGGGGCAAGGAAGATAATGAACAGAAAATGTTGCATATGCATCATGATGTTTTGGAGCCATAGATGAACGAGATTAATTGTGGAGGAGTGTATCTGGGAAGGCTTCCTGGAGGAAGTGGAATTGGCATTGCAGGATGTGGGAATTCAACACTACACTTGACTGGGCACAGAGTGGAGGCATTGAAGCCCCAATTGAAAACCATGCTGATGAGTGCAGAACTTGCTTTAATAGCAAGAAAGGGCATCAGTGCTTTGAGCAGGAAGGAGTGGTGGGCTGTAGTAGGAAGGAGGACCCAGCAGCAGGGCAGGCTACAGCACAGTGGCTATGATGCAGATGGACCCAATGGGCTGGTGCCACAGTGATGCTCGTGAACAGAACTGCCCCAGCCCCACGTCCGGGTGGCAGCATCACCAAAGGACAGGCAATGTGTGTAGGGGTGACTGTGAGGCATGATCAGGTAGTGCTAGGTGAGCCACAGGGGTGGTCCCCAACTCCCTCTTTCCTCTTTTTTTTCCTTTTTCTTTTGGTGGTACTGGAATTTGAACTCAGGGCCTCATGCTTGCTAGCATGCACTCTACCACTTGAGCTACTCCACCAACCCCCCCACTCCCTTTTTGCCTTTAAGTCCCCACCAGACCTTCCTCTCTGTGCCTTTGTAGTTCCCCATGCCTGCAAAGTGACAGGGTCTTCCTTTCTTCTCTGTTCCCACCCCCAGCCCAACCCATTGCTCTTCTGTGGTTGCAGGAGGAGGGGATAGAAAAGATTCAAGAGGCAGGAGATGGTGGAGAGGGAATTGTGAAGGAGAAAGGTGATATAGCAGGCTAATATTTTCCCATTCCCTCCCTCCCTCCCTCCCTCCTTCCTTCCTTCTCTCCCTCCCTTTCTCTATTTTTTTCTCCTTCCTCCCTCTTTTCCTTCCTTCCTTTATTCCTTTTTTCCCACCGACTCTCCCTCCCTTCCTTTTTTACTCCCTTCCTTCACATCCTCCCCCCACCTCTCTTCTTCTCCTCCTTTCTTTCTCTTCTGTTCTTTCCCCCATTTCATCTGTCTTTCTTTCTTCATAGAACTTTTTATACACCAGCTTTTTAATTTTTTTTTTAAGACAGGTCTCACCCTATAGTCCAAGCTAACCTAGAACTCGTTATGTGGCCTATGCTGGCCTGAAACGTAGAGCTGTCCTGCCTCTGCCTCCTGAGTGTTGGGCAGCCTCTGCGTTTGGCTGCTCTATCCTGACTCTCCATCCTCAGGTGGGAAGGTGTTGAAGTGTGCTTCCTTCCAAACGGGAGGTGGGATCTGTAGCCGTTTTAATGTCCCATGGGCACAGTGACCAGACCCGTGGGAGCAGTTCTGAAAATGAAGACGTTTGGATTCAGTCCAGTTTCAGGAGCTGAGGATTTCAATGGCAAATATGGGAATGAATCAAGTGTATGGCAGGAGGCCTGGAGGGCTGAATGACTGAACAGCTGAATGGAACCTGAAGATGCTCAGAGTGTCCACGAGAGGGCAGCAAAGTCCAGACTCTCTCTTAATATTGGGATGTAACTGAGGTGGCCTGAGGGGGGAGGCCTTCAGTAGGAAAAATCCCAAGCCACATGACCAGAAGCATAACAGAGCATCCCTAAAACGTTAAGACTGACAGCAATGACCTGGTCCTTATTCAGCAGAAGGCCAAATGGTCACATGACTTCCCCAAAATTTAGGCCTGCAAATCCATGTGAAAGCTGGAAATAAAACCCAGGCCTCCCAGTTCTAAAAGCAAAACGTGGAGAATTTGGTTCTCTCCTGTGGAACTGAGTCCCTGTCTCCTGTGGCTGAGTGGGTGTGGTCCTGACTCCTGTATCCCTCTGGGCCTGCAGGAGATGTTGGAGATTTGGGATGTTACCTTCCTGGCTGAGTTCTCTCTCTCTCTCTCTCTCTCTCTCTCTCTCTCTCTCTCTCTCTCTCTCCTCTCTCTGTCTCTCTCTCTCTCTCTCTCTCCCTCTCTCTTTCTCTCTCTCTTCCTCTCTCTTTCTCTGTCTATGTCTTGAGACTCACACTCATCAGCCCTGTGACTTGGTGGAAGACGGAGAGAGAGATCAGTGAGCAAGACCTAGGAGCCTGGGAGCAGGGAGAATTGTAACAAAATTGCTTTCATTGTTTTTAGTTTTTATAAATACATATTATTGACTGATAAGTCAGAATTCATAAAAATAATAACTTTAATAATACATTATTACAAATATCACTGTGCTATATAGTTTAAAAGAAATGATTTTCATGAAGACAAGATACAATATTTCATATAAGTTTTGTAGAAGGTAGATATAGTCCAGTGTTGGCAAGATCAAGGCTACAAACAGGTCAGTGGTGCTCTCCTTGGTGCTGAATGTGGCCGGTGAGCTGAAGCACCTCTCAGGCAGATGGGCAGGAAGCCCTCCCCTGACTGCATGACAAGCCATGGGAGCTTCCACAGTGTTTGCATTTGAGTTCTTAGCTCAGTGTGTCTCTCCTCTTCTTACTCTTGGTAAACACAGGGGACATTTCTTATCAAGTCCCCGTGGAAAGCTCTCCATGAGGAAATGTTCCACCAAGCTTGGCCAAGCTGGGTCTTCACTTCCAAGGCCCCACAGCGCCATGCAAAACTGTCTTTGCTTTACGATGCTGTCGTTATCACCTGGGGCCTCTGAATATGGATCTGAAAAGAGAGGCAGAGTCAGGTGAGGGTTCGGCCCATGAAAAATCTGGTTTTGGAGACATAAGAGGCTTGGGCCTAAGGCTATGCTCAGCCTGGAACTTGTCCTATTACCTGGAGTCTAGCACAGACTGCATCTTCTCTTCCCAATCATGCAAGTTTACAGGCAGTCTGGCAGGGATGTCATTTGTGCCCCCTCTCCCCAAAGCTCTCTGTCTAGGAAGTACAGGAGCTGAAGCCAACACTCTTGGTATTTCTTCTGCCCTCAAATATCCATATTAATTTGGTCATCATGGATGGCCATCCTTTCCAAGTGGCCAATGCTGGCCTTAGTCCTGGTAGGACAAGCTGACATTATGTATCTCTTCAGTGACATTATAGCTTTACCTACTACATGGCAAAAATGTTTTGACTAAATCTAATCAAGACTCTAGACCTGACCTTCACTTTATAGGAATTTCCAAAGACTGAGGGACAAATTAAATGACATCATGAGGACAGAATCAGACAAACCTGAGTGTGGAACACTCTAAAAGACAACCATACTAGACTTTTAAAAAATACAATATATTTTTTAAAAAACAGGAGGTGGTTTGAGATGAAAAGACCAAAGAGACACAACAAAAGTCGGCAAGTGAAATTTGCTGTATCCATGTCTGAGAAAAGGACTGCTGGAGTGGCTCAAGTGGTAGACTGCCTGCCTAGCAAATGTGAGGCCCTGAGTTCAAACCCTACTACTGTCAAAAAATACTTATAACAGGCCAGTTGGGAAATTGGATATTTGATGCTGTTGTGGTGCAATAATGGTTTTGGTAAAATAACGTTTGCAATTGATTGCCAAGTGGTCCAGCAAAGATTAGATGGATAGATGGATATGAAGAAAGAAAATATAACATGTTAGCATTGGATGGGACACAGACGTATTTACTGTATCATTATTTTGACATTGAAATGTGCTGAAAAATTAAAATAACTCAGAGGCACATGCCTGTAATTCCAGTTCTCGGCAGGCTGAGGCAGGAGGATCGCAAGTTCAAGACCATCTGGACACCAGTGGCTCATACCTATAATCCTAGCTACTCAGAAGACAGAGATCAAGAGGATCGGGGTTCAAAGCAGACCTTGGGAGATAGTTCACAAGACCCTATCTCAAAAATACCAAACACCAAAAAAAGGGCTGGTTCAAATCCCCAGTACCACTAAAAAACAAAACAAGTTTGAGACCAGTCTGGGCAACCTAGCAAGACCTCGTCTCAAAAATAAAATAAAAAGTGGCCATCAGTGACACATTAAAGTGGAGAAGGAAAGCAGAGTGTCAGGACGGCAGATGCCAGCTGCTCTATCTCCCCGACCTGCTGTTCCCAGAGTCAAGTTCAGTGTCTGCAGCACAGTCTGGAAACTGTTTGGGAACAACAAACTGTCAACGTGACTTTGCTTTCCCAAAGGCCCTAACCATGTAGGAGAGATGAGTTCTCAGGAGGAGGAGGGTGAGCGTCTTACCTTTGTCTCAGGGTTGATGTGGCTCAGGGAAGCCTCAAAGTTGCTGTACACAGAGTCCACGTGAATGTAATCTTCCCGATCTAGAGGAGGAGAAAGCCCCCCAGAGACAGATGGTTAGGAAGGCAAACTCTGGTCTCTCTCGAAGCCCAGCCAGTGGAGAGTGAGGGGTTTACCCCTCACTCCCATGACACTGAAACCATCAACAATGTAGTGGACGACCTAAATTATTCCAGCACTCCCTGAAACAGTCTTCAATGGGGATCGAGCTCAGGGCCTTGTCCTTGCTCGGCAGGTGCTCTCCCACTTGAGCCAGGCTCCTAGTCCTTTTGCTTTTAGCTCATTCTTCAGGTAGAGTTTCACACTTCTGCCTGGGTCAGCCTTGAATCTGGATCCTCTTATCTCTGCTGGGATTACAGGCATGTGTCACCACACTCAGCCCCTGATGTAAGCATTTTAAGGCCATAAATTTCTGAGCACAGTTGTAGCTGCCAAATTTGATACCAAGTTTTTAGTGATTATTTAGATGCACATATTGTCTAGCTTCCACTATAATTTCTTGTTAAGTACTTCATAAGTTCTGTAGAAACTTAAAATTTTTTCCAGGATTCTTACTTTCAATTTTTGAGAAATACTTTTGTTACTAATTTCAAAATTCTTGCATTGTGGCCAGATAAGGATTTAATTTTTTTTTTGAAATTTGTTGAGGATTTTTTGTGGCCTGATGTGTATCTGTTCTTACAAATTCTCCATGCAATTTTTTTTGAGACAGCTTCATTATGTAGCCCAGGCTGATCTTGAACTTGAGGTTCACTTGCCTCAGTCTCCCACGTACTAAGTTTGAACTCAGGGCCTTACTCTTGCCTGTCAGGCAGGTACACTATTGTATTGGCCACATTCCCCTAGGACCCCTTTCTTAGAAAAATTTTCCATCTTTACAATTTAAAGGCCTTCTTTCTAAATTTAATGTGCATTCAATAGAACAAAATCTAATATTAATCCTTGGATGAAATGAAACTCACATGTTCTCTCTCTCTTTTTTTCTTTCTTTCTTTTTTTTTGGCAACACTGGAGTTTGAACTCAGGGCCTCATGCTTGCTAGGCAGGCAACCTTACTGCCTGAGCCCTGTTTTGTGATTTTTTTGAGATAGGGTCTTTCAAACTATTTGCCTGGGGCTGACTTCAAACCTTGATACTCCTGATCTCTGCCCCCTGAGTAGCTAGGATTATAGGTGTGAGCCACTGATGCCTGGCAAAACTCACATGTTAGTGAGTTCACTTATCCCTGGGCACTAATCTATGTCCATACAAACATAGCTTTGTGTTCTAGAGAAATCTACCACCATTATATGACCTGCGCCTCCTCACCAGTCTAGTCATGCCATGCCCACGTGTGTTTCCCATCCAGGGTCTTGGCAGGAGTCAACCGTGGAAATAGGGTTTCAAATATGGTACCAAATGTTTTGGATAGGTACATCTTCCCTTCCCTCCTTTAAGCCCCATCATCTTTCCATGGGCTTCACTCTGTGTCGCCAAGTTGGAGCCATTCTAAGCCCAGCTGGGATTGCCAATACCTTCAGAGACATCAAAACCAGTGTTTTGGAAGGTCCCAGGGGCTGGTCTGCCGTCCTCTTCATTCCACTTGTCCAACTGAGTCACTCTGGACTTTTGCCTGTTGATTGAAATACCACAGAGACCCCATTATCATCACAGAGCAGGAACAAGGACCTGAAGACAAGCTACATCCCTGTTTCCAGCTCCCCACTGTCCATTTTGAGGATGGAGGGATTAAAGATGGAGGAATCTGAGGAAGAGGAGGAAGAAGAAGAGGAGGAAGACTTGGAAGAAAAAGGAAGAAAAGACAGAAGTAGCTCACCTTTTTACTTCTCTCTTGAAAAAGAACAAAAACAACAGGACGACGATGAGGGCCACCAGCAACACTGCACCCACTGCCCCCAGGAGCCCATACACCAGGCTCTTCTGGACACCCCAGTCACAGGTTTCTCCAGTGTACCAGTGAGTATCTGTCGTCAGGCATCTGAGATGGAAAAGAGGGGCAGGGAGGAGAGAACAAAGTCAGCTGGGCCCTGGTTCCACAGGTGACTAATGACACAGGGAAGAAGACTGTGAGGATCCCAAGGGGATGGACAGAGACCATATCTAATCAAACTGGGCTGTTCCTTCAATTGGCCCAACATTCAGCTCCAAGCTTCTGGATTTGGCCTCCTGTAGCAACCCAGAACCTACAATACTCGGCCAGTTTCTTTTCTTTTCTTTTCTTTTTTCTTTTCTTTTTGTGAGACAAGGTCTCCCTATGTATTGTCCTTGAACTCATAATTTTTCTGTCTCAGCCTCCTGAGAACTGGGATTATAGGCATGCACCATCATGCTTGGATATTAATATGCAATGCCTGTCTTGGCTTTCCTACCCTCTGTGAGTGGGCTTTGCAGACTCTTCACACACACACACCCCCATCCCAGAGGTGTGTATCCTCCTTCTCCTTTTTGCCAGCATGGGACAGTGTTCTTTCCCTGGAAAGGAGGCCCTGTTCTCCCTGCCATAAAGGGAACTTCCTGAAGCTGGGGTCTTCCTTCTACTCCCTGAGAATTTGTCACTGACCTCAGCCTCACCATCACAGAGATGACACTGGGTTAGGCAGCTCTCGAGCCACTCTTGTTCTATTCTGGACCTGGCCTTAGGGCTTGGGCAATGCTTGTCCCTCCAAACCCAATCAAATTCCTTTGTGTGACTGAATGCATTCAAGACACCCAGGGACCTTGGCCTTCAGGCAGCCTCTTGGGTGGGGTCTGAGGGAGAGGGACTGGGTTGGGGTCAGGGTGGGGTACTTACAAGCACTGGGGGCCACTGAGCTGTAGCCGGCACTTGCCATAGTGGCAGTCCAGGGAGGTGTTGAAGCCGGACATGCAGGGAGTGACACAGTACAGCTTGCCATCCTTGTATTCTGGCGTGAAGTAGGCAGCAAACTCCTTGCCAGCTGATTGGCATTCCTCTGAGGGGACCCAAAAGAGCAGCCATGATCAGGGGGGTGGGAGTCCTACCTGGCTCCTCCTTGATCCCCTCCACTGCCTCCCAAGACCTTCTCAAAAGCCACTAACATCACCTACCTTCAGGATTGACTGTAACCGTAATATTTTGCACCGCAGTGGCAGTTGAGTTGAAACACAGTAAGGCTGTGAAGGAGACACAAAGTCCCTTAGAATAAGCTTATCAGCCTCAGGTGGCTGAGGGGTGTGTGTGTGTGTGTGTGTGTGTGTGTGTGTGTGCATGTGACAGGAATGGGGCTGTGACAGGGAGGTAGGAAACTGAACCTTGCAAAGGTGGTACACCAAACTTCCTCCCAGCTCTCTACATCAGCCTCCCTTCAAGTGTCCTGCACATCTCAGGTCCTTTTTTGTCCACACTGTCCTCTGTCACAATCCCCACACCACTCACTATACAGAAGACTCACAGCATGACAAGTTTTCTGTCAGAGCCACTCTCCTGGTCACCTTTATACTGGTGGCCCATGGATTATCTTGCATCTCTATCTGCTTTTGCACACTTCTTGGAATCTGCCAGTGTAGTGACAAGGGCCAGGACTGATTCCTGCATCTCGGTGTCCTGCAATTCCCACTGTCTTTCTCCTGTCCATTGCCCCAAAGTGACAAACATTAAACCGTCTCTGAACATTGCTGTCCTAGGAGAAATTTACTTGCGCAGTAATTAGTGCTGTTGCTCGTTTGCGTTTTGGTTGCATTCTGGATTTTTTCTTCCACCTGCTGTTTGGCTTGCTTGAATATTTCCTTGTATGCAGGGGTATAATGGGTCTTCAAGAGGACATCATGTTTCACAACCACACTGCCAGGCCTGAGGAGGGAGGGATGACATCTTTGAGCATCTTCTCATGGTCAGCCCTTGTGCTTTCCCTACCCACCCCTTCCCCAGGCAGGTTCTGGTCTCCTGGGAAGGCAGAATTGGGAGGAGGGATGTTTAAAATAATGATCCAGCACTTCTTGGACAGATGCTCTGTTCAAGGCACAGACCAGGCCCTTTCCCATAGGTCATCACAAAATGCTGTGTGCAAAGCAGGCTGAATGGCTCAAGTGGTAGAGCACCTGCCAAGCAAACACAAGGCCCTGAGTTCAAACACAAGTACCATGCCTGTTAAAAAAAAAAACCCGAAACAACAACAAAAACAACTGACCTATGCCTAAAAGAGTTCCTCTACAAAGATTAGGCTCTGAGAAGTCTCCAGAGAGGCTCAGCATCAAACACAGACACAGGTTGGAGACTACAGAAAAGGCCATCTTTAAGCTGTCATTAGATGTAACCAAGCAAGAGATTGAGGTGTCCTGAAGGGGCCATGGCCACAGGGCAGGAACTTGCATCAAGGGGACTTACAGGGTCATGAATCCCTACATATGGCGAGGGTGGGGGGCTGCATGAGGTCTTGAGTCCCTAAGGACAGTATGTAAAAAAAGAAGGTGCACTCATGCATTTTTTCTTATCATCCATATTCTTGTCAATTCTAAAATGGTCTTCAATACCTAAAAGGTTAAAATTTCAATCCAAAGTCCCAACACTTAGGACTTGGAAGCCAGGGTCAACACCATCAAGAGTCCAGACTTAGGTTTTTCCCAGCTCCTTTCCTCTTCCCTAACTCAGAATCCAGTAGAGTAGGCAAACTTCTTCTTTCTTTCTTTCTTTTTCTCTTTCTTTCTTTCTCTATTTCTTTCTCTCTCTCTTTCTCTCTCTCTCTCTCTCTCTCTCTCTCTCTCTCTCTCTCTCTCTCTCTCTCTCTCTCTTCTCTCTCTCTCTCTCTCTTTTTTATTTAACACAGGGACTCTCTCTGTAGCCCAGGTTGCCTTTGAACTTAAGAATCTACTGAAGATCCCAAATCAATGACCTAATGATACATCTCAAACTCCTAGGAAAACAAGAACAAGCAAATCCCAAAACAAATATAAGGAGAGAAATAATAAAAATAAGGGCTGAAATCAATGAAATAGAAACCAAAAAAACCATACAAAGAATTAATGAAACAAAAAGTTGGTTCTTTGAAAAAATAAACAAGAACGATAGATCCCTGGCAAACCTGACTAAAATGAAGAGAGAAAAAACCCAAATTAGTAGAATCAAGAATGCAAAAGGGGAGATAACAACAAACATCATGGAAGTCCAGGAAATCATCAGAGACTACTTTGAGAACCTATATTCAAATAAATTTGAAAATCTAAAAGAAATGGACAGATTTCAAGATACATATGATCATCCAAAACTGAACCAAGAGGAAATTAATCACCTGAATAGATCTATAACACAAAATGAAATTGAAGCAGCAATCAAGAGTCTCCCCAAAAAGAAAAGTCCAGGACCTGATGGATTCTCTGCTGAATTCTATCAGACCTTTAAAGAAGAACTGACACCAACCCTCCTTAAACTGTTCCATGAAATAGAAAGGGAAGGAAAACTGCCAAACACATTTTATGAAGCCAGTATTACACTTATCCCAAAACCAGGCAAAGATACCTCCAAAAAGGAGAACTATAGGCCAATCTCCTTAATGAACATTGATGCAAAAATCCTCAACAAAATAATGGCAAACCGAATTCAAAAGATTATTCACCACGACCAAGTAGGCTTCATCCCAGGAATGCAGGGGTGGTTCAACATATGAAAATCAATAAATGTAATAAACCACATTAACAGAAGCAAAGCCAAAAACCACTTGATCATCTCAATAGATGCAGAAAAAGCCTTTGATAAGATCCAACACCATTTCATGATAAAAGCTCTAAGAAAACTAGGAATAGAAGGAAAGTACCTCAACATTATAAAAGCTATATATGACAAACCTACAGCCAGCATTATACTTAACGGAGAAAAACTGAAACCATTCCCTCTAAAATCAGGAACCAGACAAGGATGCCCACTATCTCCACTCCTATTCAACATAGTACTGGAATTCCTAGCCAGAGCAATTAGTCAAGAAGAAGGAATAGAAGGAATACAAATAGGTAAAGAAACTGTCAAAATATCCCTATTTGCAGATGACATGATCCTATACCTTAAAGGCCCAAAAAACTCTACTCAGAAGCTTCTAGACATCATCAATAGCTATAGCAAGGTAGCAGGATATAAAATCAACATAGAAAAATCATTAGCATTTCTATACACTGACAATGAGCAAACTGAAAAAGAATGTATGAAAACAATTCCATTTACAATAGCCTCAAAAAAAATCAAATACCTAGGTATAAACCTAACAAAAGATGTGAAAGACCTCTACAAGGAAAACTAAACTTCTGAAGAAAGAGATTGAGGAAGACTATAGAAAGTGGAGAGATCTCCCATGCTCATGGATTGGTAGAATCAACATAGTAAAAATGTCAATACTCCCAAAAGTATCGACATTAAACATCTACATGTTTAATGCAATTCCCATCAAAATTCCAATGACATTCATTAAAGGGATTGAAAAATCTACTGTTAAATTTATATGGAAACACAAGAGGCCACGAATAGCCAAGGCAATACTCAGTCAAAAGAACAACATTGGAGGTATCACAATACCTGATTTCAAACTATATTACAAAGCAATAACGATAAAAACAGTATGGTACTGGCACAAAAACAGACATGAAGACCATTGGAACAGTATAGAGGACCCAGATATGAAACCACACAACTATAACCAACTTGTCTTTGACAAAGGAGCTAAAAATATACGATGGAGAAATAGCAGCCTCTTCAACAAAAACTGCTGGGAAAACTGGTTAGCAGGCTGCAAAAAACTGAAATTAGATCCATGTATATCACCCTACACCAGATTAACTCAAAATGGATCAAGGATCTTAATATCAGACCACAAACTCTAAAGTTGATACAGGAAAGAGTAGGAAATACTCTGGAGTTAGTAGGTATAGGTAAGAACTTTCTCAACGAAACCCCAGAAGCACAGCAACTAAGAGATAGCATAGATCAATGGGACCTCATAAAGCTAAAAAGCTTCTGTTCATCAAAAGAAGTGGTCTCTAAACTGAAGAGAACACCCACAGAGTGGGAGAAAATATTTGCCAGCTATACATCAGACAAAGGACTGATAACCAGAATATATAGGGAACTTAAAAAACTAAATTCTCCCAAAAGTAATGAACCAATAAAGAAATGGGCAAGTGAACTAAACAGAACTTTCTCAAAAGAATAAATTCAAATGGCCAAAAACACATGAAAAAATGCTCACCATCTCTAGCAATAAAGGAAATGCAAATTAAAACCACACTAAGATTCCACCTCACCCCTGTTAGAATAGCCATCATCAGCAATACCACCACCAACCTGTGTTGGCGAGGATGCGGGGAAAAAGGAACCCTCTTACACTGTTGGTGGGAATGTAGACTAGTACAACCACTCTGGAAAAAAATTTGGAGACTACTTAAAAAGCTAGACATCGATCTAACATTTGATCCAGCAATACCACTCTTGGGGATATACCCAAAAACTGTGACACAGGTTACTCCAGAGGCACCTGCACACCCATGTTTATTGCGGCACTACTCACAATAGCCAAGTTATGGAAACAGCCAAGATGCCCCACCACTGACGAATGGATTAAGAAAATGTGGTATCTATACACAATGGAATTTTATGCTGCCACGAAGAAGAACGAAATGTTATCATTCACTGGTAAATGGATGGAATTGGAGAACATCATTCTGAGTGAGGTTAGCCTGGCCCAAAAGACCAAAAATCGTATGTTTTCCCTCATATGTGGACATTAGCTCAAGGGCAAACACAACAATGTGATTGGACTTTGAACACATGATAAAAGCGAGAGCACACAAGGGAGGGGTGAGGATATGTATGACACCTAAAAAATTAGCTAGCATTTGTTGCCCTCAACGCAGAGAAACTAAAGCAGATACCTTAAAAGCAACTGAGGCCAATAGGGAAAGGGGAACAAGTACTAGAGAAAAGGTTAGATCAAAAAGAATTAACCTAGAAGGTAACACCCACGCACAGGAAATCAATGTGAGTCAATGCCCTGTATAGCTATCCTTATCTCAACCAGCAAAAACCCTTGTTCCTTCCTATTATTGCTTATACTCTCTCTACAACAAAATTAGAAATAAGGGCAAAATAGTTTCTGCTGTGTATTGAGGGGGTGGGGGGGAGAGGGAGGGGGCAGAGTGGGTGGTAAGGGAGGGGGTGGGGGCAGGGGGGAGAAATGACCCAAGTCTTCTATGCACATATGAATAATAAATAAAAAAACAAGAATGTACTGTCTCTGACTCCCAAGTACTGGGATTAAAGGCCAGTGTCACCACACCCAGATTCTTTTTATTTATTTCATTTTATTAATTAATTTTTTTTGGTGGACCTGGGGTTTGAACTCAGGGCTTCACACTGTCAAAGCAGGCACTCTACCACTTGAGCTGCACATCCAGTCCATTTTGCTCTGGTTATTTTGGAGATGGGGTCTCATGAACTATTTGCCTGGGCTGGCCTTGAACCTTTTCTCACCTTCCAAATAGCCACCGCGCCTGGCTCGTTTTGTTTTCCACTGGTTGAAAGTTCCTTATGAAAATTATCAATCATGACTGTGAGAAGCCATGAGAAGAGAGATTGTCTTCATGACCTTGGGGAGGTGATGGGGATCCCATGCCAGGCCAGTTAGCCAGAGCCATTCAAAGAGTTTCATAAAATTGGAGCAAATGATACACAAAAGGTTCTATGAGGGCGGAATCCATGTAGATGAGTGGAAGAGAATACTGCACAGGTGTACACCTGGAAACCTTTTCCCTTCGGTCTCCCTCCTCATGTTAAAATGTTTAGCTTCTTCTCTGAAAACTAATGGGGTGTCCCTCACTCATGACACAGCTTCCAGGTTTTCCAGATTGTCTGCCTGTGCCTAACAAAACAGGATTTCTGTTTTAATCTTGGCCCCACCATTCTATAATCTATCCCTCAGGCAAAACATTGAATCTCTCTGAGCCTTGGTTTCTCATCTGTACAATGGGTACAGTTCCACTGGCCTCTCCCACACACTGCTTATAAACTTTCAATAGGAAGTATGTATGGAATCACTGTTGAAGGGTGTTGTGGGATGAGATGTGTCCCATATAAATTCAGATGTTTTGATGGTTAATCTTGACTGTCAGCTTGGTTGGATTAGAAGATCAGAAAAGAAACCTCTGGGTGTGTCAGCTCTGAATGTGGGTGGCACCAGTTTTACAGGCTGGGGAGCTGGATAGAATAAAAGGGGAAAAGGCAGAGAGCCAGCTGGTGCAGTCACGTTCTCTCTCTCTCTTTCTGTCTCCTTCCTGGCCACCATGAAATGAACTGCTGTGATCTAATACATCCTTCCTGCCATGATAAACTGAAGCCTCTGAAACCATCAGCCAAAATAAACCCTTCATCCTTTAACTTGCTATGTTAGGTATTTTGTCACAGTTATGGAAAGTGCCACTAGTACAGATGTTAAAGCTGTAACCCCCAAACCTCAGAATGTGACTGCCCTTGGAATTAAGGCCTTTAAACAGGCAATGAGGTTAAAATAAGGCTGTTGAAATGGACCCTAACCCAACCTGACTGGTGTCCTTATAAGAAGAGGAAATTGAGGCTGTAATTACAGCACTCAGGAGGTTTAGGCAAGAGGATGGTGAGATCAAGTTCAGTCTAGGCTACATAGTGAGACCATGTCTCAAAAAATAAAAAAGGAAATTTGTACAAATAGCTGGGTTATGCACACAGAGAAAAGGCCATGTGGGGACACAGCAAGAAGTCTGCTATTGGGGCTGGTGAAGTGGCTCAAGAGGTAAAGCAAGTGTGAGGCCCTGAGTTCAAACCCCTGTACTGTGCCCCCACCCCTGCCCTTGCCACTGCACAAAAAAATAGGTAGCTATCAGTAAGCCAAGGAGAAATCAACCCTGCTTATGCTTTGGTCTCAGATTTCCAACCATCACGGCTATGAGTGATAACTTTCTGTTCAGTCACGTAGTCCGTGGTGCTCTGTCATGGCAGACCCCAAGGGTATCACAGGCACGGTTACAATGGCCTTTATAATTGTGACTATTGCTTCTGTTCCAAAGCCCCTCTTCTTAGCAGCCCCAGATACTCACCTCAGCTCTGTGATGTTGACCCCCTCATACTCGGAGATTCCAGAATAAATCTCTTTCATCTGAAAGGCAAGGGGCCACTGTGTCATGAAAGAGGTCCCATTTGGGGCCTGCTGTGCCTTTCTGTGGAACATCAGAAAGGCACAGGATGGCTGCCCCATCCCATAGCACTCCCCCACACCCACACATAGACACTCATCCTCATCCCCAGTCACTGGTATACTGGCCAAATGGACAGCTCCTTACTAGAGACCAGCCTCGCCCTGGTGATCCCCATGTAGCTCCCAGGCTCTGACAAGCCCTGAGGATTTGCGGGGAGGGACTGAAAAACTCACACCCTTCTAACAAGGGAATGGCTTTTAGTTTTCTTAATCTCTCCAGGGTCCTCCCTTGGGGCAACTGAGTGGCTCTGGGGTTGTGCTGTCCCAGGTTTACCTGTTCTGAGAATGTCTCATTGAACTTTTTAAATTCCTCAGAAGACCGGTTCTGAAGCTCATCGTGGTACACCTGGTTAGTGACTGTCACAGTCAGTTCCACTTCGGCAGAGACTGTCTGGTCTACAGGGGAAAGAACAAAGCACCACTCAGAGAGCAAAGCAACCCCCTCCCGAGCTCCTGTTACAGAGGTCTGCACCCCAGCAACCCCACCATGGGTGTAGAAGGAGAGCCAGGCTCCCCTGACACTCAGTGCCCTGCAGGGAAGGGAAAACACCATACTCGGGGCTTACAGATGGAGGCTGAGGGACCTTGAGGCTTAAATTCTCATAGGATACTCCTCACGCTTTGGTTTCTGCTCCAGCATACCCAGACGCTCCTTGGTTTATGACGGGCTACCTCCTGATAAGCCCATCATAATTGAACATATAAATTGAAAAGAAATTTAATCCTTCTAACTTAACAGGGCACACTGTAAAGTGCTGGTTGCTTCCTCTTGTGAGCGTGCAGCTGCCTGGGAGGTGAAGCTAAGCATAGTAAGAAAGGATGGTGTCAATATCATTAGTCGAGCTAAAGATTCACATTCAATTTTTATTTGGCAATACTGGAGTTTGAACTCAGGACCCTGCACTTGCTAGGCAAACACTCTGCCACTTGAGTCAGACCTCAGTCCTTTTTGCTTTAGGTTATTTTTCAGATAGAATCTTCCATTTTTTGACCAGGGCCAGACCTAGATTGTGATCCTCTTGTCTCTACCTCCACAGGTATGATTGCAACCTCGTACCACCATACCCAGCTTATTTGTTGAGATGGGGTCTCACGAACTTTTTGCCTAGACAGGCCTCAAACCATGACCTTCCCAATCTCCAACTCCCAGAATCTGGGATTATAATCATGAGCTACTGCACCCAAGGTACATTCAAAACTTAAAGTATGATTTGCATTGAATTTGCATTGTCTTGGCACATTCATTAGTGAAAAAGTCCTGTTGCACCATCATACATTGGGGGAATCTCACTATGCAACCTAGGCTGGTCTCATACTCTCAATCCTCTTGGCTTAGTCTCCTGAGTTCTGAGATTACAGATGTGTACCACCATGCTTGGCCTTGCAGTCTTTTGTTTTGGGTGTTTTTTATGGTAAAATTCAGTGCCAAATTTGTACTTTGTTCAAATATTGTTTGTTGATTTATTCATTTGTAATGTTTAATGTTTCATTTTTAATGTTTTTAACTCTTTTACTATTAGCTTGGAGATAAAAGGCCCAGAAGAGAACAGATTCTTGAATCATGATGGGGCAGGAGCAGGGGTTTGATGTGGGTTGCTGGTCTAGGTGTTGGGGAGAGGAGGGTCCTCCCTGGGGTCTCACTTACCTATCTCAATGCTGTCAACCACTTCCTCACACCTTGGTCCATAGTAGAGGCTGGTGCACTGGCATTTGAGCCCATCCCAGAGGCCTCCATTCTGGCAGACATTGATCAGAAATTGGCATCGCTCTCCTGTGTATGCATCAGGGCAAACACAGCCATCTCCTATCCATTGTCCTCCATTGGAGCAGGTCCCTGAAAGAGACAACTAGTCAACCACACATACTCGATCAGCATATTAAATGTGTTTTCAAAGATATTGTCTGCTTTGATACTGTCATGAGACCCTGGGGGACACAGGATAGTTAGTGTCATCCTCACTTTACACAAGGAGAAGAGACATGAATACAGGCTGAAAGGCCCATATAAGGATCCAGGTAGAGGAAGACTTGACTCGTTCTTGGAGTCCAGCATGCTTTACTTCAGCTCAGAAATGTGAGGAAAGAGAAATCTGTTGTTGTGAGAGGCAAGCCAACCATTATGGCTGAGAAAAATGAAACAAGAGACAGAGACTAAGTGAATCCAGGAGAAAGTGGCCTTATGAGATTGCACAGGACTGACAGTGAACATTGTCATTGTCCCTCAATGCAGGCTGCAGAAGACCTTTGCACAAGCACTTGTTATGGCCACAATTGTTTATGATTACTTTCTACTTCCTGGGACATGGAGAAGGAAGGACGAGTATAGATGTGTTGAGATGGTTATCCACAACTCTTGATCGTGCATGTGGATCCATCCAGAAAATCTAAAGCTGTCTTTGACTGTTCTTGAAAAATCACTGTGCTTGTGTAGAACAGTATTCAGGGTGCATTTTGTCTGGGGAAGCACACAAGGCATGGGTGTACTCTGCAAAGACCTGCCTTATCTTGGCTCTCTGGTCTTCTCCAAACTCAGAGAGCAAGGGCCACAGACATGACAATCACATCATGAAACCTTGTCTCTGCTCCAAGATCCTCAGGAAGATGGAACAGAGAAGTCAAGGGTCCTGAGCATACTGCAGACACATAAATCCTAAATCATCCCTGCATCCCATCCAACTTTCCCTACCCCATCTCCCTTCCTTCCGCTCTTCCTCCTCCACTCTCTACCCTTTTCTACTGAAGATGCCCTGACCTCATCTAGGTGCACAAGCACAGGTTGGTGAGTTGCTGCTAGGGTGTATTCACTTGTTGCCCAACAATCTAAAAGGAATACCAGCCTCTGGGGAATAGGAGGACAGAAGTGGAGATCATCTGCCTTCAGATAGGTGACCAACACCAGATTTTGGACCCAGCAGTGGTATAGCTACCTGACCTTTTTTGTAGAACACCCTCTATGGTTTGACCATGATTTGTCCTCCAAAATTTCATATGCTGGAAAACTGATCCCCAGTTGGGTGATGTTGATGGGTGGAACCCTTAGGAGGTGGGGCCTGGTGGAAGGCCATTAGTTCATGCAACACCCTTCCTTCTTCATGCATGTGTTAATGCTGGTCTTGCAGAGAGGACTGGGTCTCACAAGAGTGGGTTCATTCCTTCAAAATGCTTGTTACAAACTAATGAAGCCTGTTGCTCTCCACTCCCTTCCTAGCTGCACACGTGCCCCTTCTGCATGTACTTATGTCCCTTTCCACTTATCCACCATGTTCTGCTGCTCCTAGTGGGGTCCTCGGCAGATGTCAGCTCTAGACTGTTTGGAACTTCCAGCTACCCAATTTATGAAGATTATAAACCTGTTCTCTCTATACACTACCCAGCATCAGGTATTCCATTATAGCAACACAAAACAGACTAAGACAATACCTATAGAGCTTCCAGAGAATACGAGGTCCAAATTGCCCACCTAAGGATGCTCAGGTCCCTTGTATGAGAACCAGGAGCTGAACAAGACAAAGAGATACTGAAGAGAAACCAGAGTACTTAAGTAGAGCTTAACAAAAGAAAAAATCACAAAGCTCTGGGAAAGTGTAGAAGCCCAAAGAGGATGAACTGTCCTTTATTTCCATCAATTAAAGATTGATTGAGTAATGTTCTGGGAGGAACACTGAGTAATGCCTGCAGGGATATCCATGATAAATCTAAGTCAATCAATGAATGTACATAATATATGATATATAATTGAAAAACAGCACATGAAATTCTAAAAAAATGGGGAGTAAGCAAAACTAATTTTAACAAAAGCACAGAGAGTCAAATGAAAGTTCTAGATACAGATAAAGAAAAAGGAGACATTAGAAAAAGGATTCCCTGATATGCACACAGTTAGAGTCTGGCTTGGTAGAAGGGAAGAAATTTTTTATAAGTCAGAGCAAAACAAGAGTTAATGCTGGCAGCTGTGTACCAAGAATATATGCAAATATTATTGCCAATACTGTCATGAAAAAATTCATACTTACATATGCAAGAAAAATCGAGGAGGAAAAAACACTAAAATATGAGAAAACCAAATAAAACATTTGGAGTTAATGACATTATGGCCAAAAAAGGCAATGTAAGAGAGAATTTCAGAGTACAAAAGGAAAAAACAGGAGATGTGACCAGATTACTGGGAAAATGCAGAGAAAAAAACCGCACAATATACTCTGTGAAGAAAAAGCAGAAAAAAAATCAATGAATAAGAGTGCAATTACATGACTTAAAGATTTCATATAGCAGAAAAAAGACAGTACAAGGGCTAAAGATTAACTACAGAGCCAAAAGAGGCAGGCATGGAAAATGAAACAGAAGAGTGAGATTGAAAATATAGGGATAAATAAATTAATAACAAAAATTAAAATAATAGGATGAAATAAATCACTGACCTTTTGTAGTTGTTGGAACTGTAGTAGTTCGAACAGGGGTGATTGTTGTTGACACAGTAGAGGCAACAGTGGAAGTTGAAGATGTGGTCATTATGGTGGAAGCAACACTAGTGGTGCTAGGATTAACTCCAACACTTGTAGTGGTGACAATTGAAGGAGTGACAGATGGAGTACCACCTGGGGGATTAGTAGAAGTAATGCTTTCCTTTGTAGGAGTGGATGAAGGCAGGGTGGTAAAAGAGGTGCTCTCAGCAGATGTGGTTACTGGGGTGCTGCTGACTACACTGGTTTCAGCGGGAGTGGTAAAGGGTGTGACCAACTCAGTAGAAGTTGTCCCAAGGGTGGTGCTGACTAGAGTAGTGGATAATGGAGTGCTTCCTCCAGTAGGTGGATGGACAGTAGTGCCGGTTACTTCCAAAGTAGAAGATGAGCTAGCTTCCACAGTAGTTCCCACAGGTGTTGTGGTAGCAACAGGAGTAGGTGATGATGTCCTGGTCTCAGGGGAAGAGTTAATGGAAGAGCTACTGGTAAGACTAGGTGATGACAGAATGTTTCCTTCTGCTGTTGCAGTAAAAGCTGTGGTAGTGCCTTCTGAAGCTATAGGAAAGGAGCTGGGTTCAGTGGAAGACGAAAAAGGTACGGTGGTATCAAAAGGAGAACTGAAGGCTGAGGTCAGGAAGGTAGACGTACTGGTGGACAGTGTGCTTCTGCCTGTTGTAAGAATGGAGGTGCTCCATACATCCAGTGTTTGAGGTGAGCGAGTTACAGATGTTGTTCCGACAGCAGTGGTGGTATCAACAGGAGTGCTGTGGGGAGTGGTGACATCTGTGGAAGTGGTAAAGGAGGTGGTGCTCACTAGAAGAGTGGAAGATGGACTGATTTCTCCTGTTGTTGGAAGAAAAGGGTGGGTAGGGCCTTCCACAGTTGAAGGAGAGGAGCTGGCCTCAGTGGAGGTCCGCACAGGCGTGGTAGTCTCAACAGGAGTGGCGGAGGGTGTGCTCACCTCAGTGGAAGGGCTTCCTGGGGTGCCGCTGACGACAGCAGTGGATGACAGTGTGCTCCCTTCTGTGGTTGGAGGAAACCTAGTGCTGCTTACTTCCACAGCTGGAGAGGTGCCAGCCTCCGCAGTGGATCCCACGGGCGTGCTGGTGTCACCAGCAGTGCTGGATGGTGTGCTGATGTCCGCGGCAGTGGCGAACCAGGTGGTACTGGCCACAGTCGTGGCTGGTGGAGTGCTTCCTTCTGTCGTTGGAGTAAAGGGGCTGGAAGGGCCTTCCGCAGTTGAAGGAGAAGAGCTGGCGTCCGTGGATGTCGGAACAGGTGTGCTGGTTTCCACAGGGGTGGTGGTGGGTGTGCTCCCCTCAGCAGAGGTAGTTCCTGGGCTGCTGCTCACTGGAGCAGTAGGTGACAGTGTGCTCCCTACTGTCGTTGCAGGAACAGCAGTGCTCCTTACTTCCACAGTTGTTGAAGGGCTGGCTTCAGTGGCAGTTCCCAGCGGTGTGCTGGTGTCACCAGGACGTGTAGAGGGTGTAGTGATGTCGGGAGAAGTGCTTACAGGGGTACTGCTCACTAGAGCGGTGGGTGGCTGCGTGCTCCCCACTGAAGTTGGAGGAACAGCAGTGCTCATCACTTGCACACTTGTAGATGTGCCAGCTTCAGTAGCGGTTCCCACAGGTGTGGTGGTGTCACCAGGACTTGTGGAGGGTGTAGTCATCTGAGCAGAAGTGCTCACAGGGGTGCTGCCGAGTAGGGTGGTGGATGGCAGTGTGCTCACTTCTGTTGCTGCTGGAGGAGTCGTACTTGCTGCTTGCACAGTGGTAGATGTGCTAGCTCCAAGAGTAGTTGCCGCAGGTGTGGTCGTGTCAAGCGGAGGGCTGGATGGTGGGATAACTTGTGTGGTGCTGCTCTGCGAGGTGGTTCCGGCTGCAGTACTGGCTGATGGTGTGCTCTCTTCTGTTGTTGTAGGAACAGGGGTGCTGCTTACTTGCACCGCGGTAGATGTGCTAGCTTCAGTACTGCTTCCCACAGGCGTGGTGGTATCCGGAGGAGGGAAGGAGGGTGTGAGGGTCTCTGGGGAAGTGGTCAAAGAGGGTGTGCTGACTAGAGCAGTGGATGATAGGGTGCTTCCTTCTGTCGTTGGAGTAAGCAGACCGGTAGTGGCTTCCCCAGACGTCGGAAAGGAGCTGGCCTGAGTGGAGGTCCACACTGCTGTGCTGGTACCAACAGCAGTGGCTGAGGGTGTGGTCACCCCAGCAGAGCTACTCACTGGGCTGCTGCTGACAAGAGCGGTAGATGTCAGTGTGATCCCCGCTGTTGCTGGAGGAACAGTGGTGCTTGCTACTTCCACACTTGCAGATGTGCTAGCTGGAAGCGTAGTTCCCACAGGTGTGGTGGCATCACCCAGAGTGCTCGAAGGTGGGATAACTTGTGTGGTGCTGCTGAGCGACGTGGTGCTGGCTCCACTGGTGGATGATGGTGTGCTCTCTTCTGTTGTTGGAGGAACAGGGGTGCTGCTTACTTCCACAGCTGTAGATGTGTCAGCCTCCGTACTGGTTGCCACGGGTGTGGTGGTGTCAGCAGGAGTGCTGGATGGTGTGCTGAGCTCTGTGGAAGTGGTGAACAAGGTGGTACTGGCCACGGTAGTGGATGAGGGAGCGCTTCCTTCTGTTGTGAGAGTGACAGGTCTGATAGTAGCTTCCAGAGCTGGAGGAGAGGAGCTGGCCTCAGGGGACGTCCACACAGGCGTGCTGGTTTCCCCAGGAGTGCTTGATGGTGCAGCAACCTCAGTGGAAGTGATTGATGGGGTGCTCCTGACCAGAGCGCTGGATGACGGCGTGCTCTCCTCCGTTGTGGTAGGAACAGTGGTGTCTGTGACTTCCAAAGTGGTAGGTGTGCTAGCTTCAGTAGTGGTTCCGACAGCAGTGGTGGTATCAACAGGAGTGCTGTGGGGAGTGGTGACATCTGTGGAAGTGGTAAAGGAGGTGGTGCTCACTAGAGGAGTGGAAGATGGAGTAATTTCTCCTGTTGTTGGATGAAAAGGGCGCGTAGGGCCTTCCACAGTTGAAGGAGAGGAGCTGGCCTCAGTGGAGGTCCGCACAGGCGTGGTAGTCTCAACAGGAGTGGCCGAGGGTGTGCTCACCTCAGTGGAAGGGCTTCCTGGGGTGCCGCTGACGACAGCAGTGGATGACAGTGTGCTCCCTTCTGTGGTTGGAGGAAACCTAGTGCTGCTTACTTCCACAGCTGGAGAGGTGCCAGCCTCCGCAGTGGATCCCACGGGCGTGCTGGTGTCACCAGCAGTGCTGGATGGTGTGCTGATGTCCGCGGCAGTGGCGAACCAGGTGGTACTGGCCACAGTCGTGGCTGGTGGAGTGCTTCCTTCTGTCGTTGGAGTAAAGGGGCTGGAAGGGCCTTCCGCAGTTGAAGGAGAAGAGCTGGCGTCCGTGGATGTCGGAACAGGTGTGCTGGTTTCCACAGGGGTGGTGGTGGGTGTGCTCCCTCAGCAGAGGTAGTTCCTGGGCTGCTGCTCACTGGAGCAGTAGGTGACAGTGTGCTCCCTACTGTCGTTGCAGGAACAGCAGTGCTCCTTACTTCCACAGTTGTTGAAGGGCTGGCTTCAGTGGCAGTTCCCAGCGGTGTGCTGGTGTCACCAGGACGTGTAGAGGGTGTAGTGATGTCGGGAGAAGTGCTTACAGGGGTACTGCTCACTAGAGCGGTGGGTGGCTGCGTGCTCCCCACTGAAGTTGGAGGAACAGCAGTGCTCATCACTTGCACACTTGTAGATGTGCCAGCTTCAGTAGCGGTTCCCACAGGTGTGGTGGTGTCACCAGGACTTGTGGAGGGTGTAGTCATCTGAGCAGAAGTGCTCACAGGGGTGCTGCCGAGTAGGGTGGTGGATGGCAGTGTGCTCACTTCTGTTGCTGCTGGAGGAGTCGTACTTGCTGCTTGCACAGTGGTAGATGTGCTAGCTCCAAGAGTAGTTGCCGCAGGTGTGGTCGTGTCAAGCGGAGGGCTGGATGGTGGGATAACTTGTGTGGTGCTGCTCTGCGAGGTGGTTCCGGCTGCAGTACTGGGTGATGGTGTGCTCTCTTCTGTTGTTGCAGGAACAGGGGTGCTGCTTACTTGCACCTCGGTAGATGTGCTAGCTTCAGTACTGCTTCCCACAGGCGTGGTGGTATCCGGAGGAGGGAAGGAGGGTGTGAGGGTCTCTGGGGAAGTGGTCAAAGAGGGTGTGCTGACTAGAGCAGTGGATGATAGGGTGCTTCCTTCTGTCGTTGGAGTAAGCAGACCGGTAGTGGCTTCCCCAGACGTCGGAAAGGAGCTGGCCTGAGTGGAGGTCCACACTGCTGTGCTGGAACCAACAGCAGTGGCTGAGGGTGTGGTCACCCCAGCAGGGCTACTCACTGGGCTGCTGCTGACAAGAGCGGTAGATGTCAGTGTGATCCCCGCTGTTGCTGGAGGAACAGTGGTGCTTGCTACTTCCACACTTGCAGATGTGCTAGCTGGAAGCGTAGTTCCCACAGGTGTGGTGGCATCACCCAGAGTGCTCGAAGGTGGGATAACTTGTGTGGTGCTGCTGAGCGACGTGGTGCTGGCTCCACTGGTGGATGATGGTGTGCTCTCTTCTGTTGTTGGAGGAACAGGGGTGCTGCTTACTTCCACAGCTGTAGATGTGTCAGCCTCCGTACTGGTTGCCACGGGTGTGGTGGTGTCAGCAGGAGTGCTGGATGGTGTGCTGAGCTCTGTGGAAGTGGTGAACAAGGTGGTACTGGCCACGGTAGTGGATGAGGGAGCGCTTCCTTCTGTTGTGAGAGTGACAGGTCTGATAGTAGCTTCCAGAGCTGGAGGAGAAGAGCTGGCCTCAGGGGACGTCCACACAGGTGTGCTGGTTTCCCCAGGAGTGCTTGAGGGTGCAGCAACCTCAGTGGAAGTGATTGATGGGGTGCTCCTGACCAGAGCGCTGGATGACGGCGTGCTCTCCTCCGTTGTGGTAGGAACAGTGGTGGCTGTGACTTCCAAAGTGGTAGGTGTGCTAGCTTCAGTAGTGGTTCCGACAGCAGTGGTGGTATCAACAGGAGTGCTGTGGGGAGTGGTGACATCTGTGGAAGTGGTAAAGGAGGTGGTGCTCACTAGAGGAGTGGAAGATGGAGTGATTTCTCCTGTTGTTGGATGAAAAGGGCGCGTAGGGCCTTCCACAGTTGAAGGAGAGGAGCTGGCCTCAGTGGAGGTCCGCACAGGCGTGGTAGTCTCAACAGGAGTGGCCGAGGGTGAGCTCACCTCAGTGGAAGGGCTTCCTGGGGTGCCGCTGACGACAGCAGTGGATGACAGTGTGCTCCCTTCTGTGGTTGGAGGAAACCTAGTGCTGCTTACTTCCACAGCTGGAGAGGTGCCAGCCTCCGCAGTGGATCCCACGGGCGTGCTGGTGTCACCAGCAGTGCTGGATGGTGTGCTGATGTCCGCGGCAGTGGCGAACCAGGTGGTACTGGCCACAGTCGTGGCTGGTGGAGTGCTTCCTTCTGTCGTTGGAGTAAAGGGGCTGGAAGGGCCTTCCGCAGTTGAAGGAGAAGAGCTGGCGTCCGTGGATGTCGGAACAGGTGTGCTGGTTTCCACAGGGGTGGTGGTGGGTGTGCTCCCCTCAGCAGAGGTAGTTCCTGGGCTGCTGCTCACTGGAGCAGTAGGTGACAGTGTGCTCCCTACTGTCGTTGCAGGAACAGCAGTGCTCCTTACTTCCACAGTTGTTGAAGGGCTGGCTTCAGTGGCAGTTCCCAGCGGTGTGCTGGTGTCACCAGGACGTGTAGAGGGTGTAGTGATGTCGGGAGAAGTGCTTACAGGGGTACTGCTCACTAGAGCGGTGGGTGGCTGCGTGCTCCCCACTGAAGTTGGAGGAACAGCAGTGCTCATCACTTGCACACTTGTAGATGTGCCAGCTTCAGTAGCGGTTCCCACAGGTGTGGTGGTGTCACCAGGACTTGTGGAGGGTGTAGTCATCTGAGCAGAAGTGCTCACAGGGGTGCTGCCGAGTAGGGTGGTGGATGGCAGTGTGCTCACTTCTGTTGCTGCTGGAGGAGTCGTACTTGCTGCTTGCACAGTGGTAGATGTGCTAGCTCCAAGAGTAGTTGCCGCAGGTGTGGTCGTGTCAAGCGGAGGGCTGGATGGTGGGATAACTTGTGTGGTGCTGCTCTGCGAGGTGGTTCCGGCTGCAGTACTGGGTGATGGTGTGCTCTCTTCTGTTGTTGCAGGAACAGGGGTGCTGCTTACTTGCACCTCGGTAGATGTGCTAGCTTCAGTACTGCTTCCCACAGGCGTGGTGGTATCCGGAGGAGGGAAGGAGGGTGTGAGGGTCTCTGGGGAAGTGGTCAAAGAGGGTGTGCTGACTAGAGCAGTGGATGATAGGGTGCTTCCTTCTGTCGTTGGAGTAAGCAGACCGGTAGTGGCTTCCCCAGACGTCGGAAAGGAGCTGGCCTGAGTGGAGGTCCACACTGCTGTGCTGGTACCAACAGCAGTGGCTGAGGGTGTGGTCACCCCAGCAGGGCTACTCACTGGGCTGCTGCTGACAAGAGCGGTAGATGTCAGTGTGATCCCCGCTGTTGCTGGAGGAACAGTGGTGCTTGCTACTTCCACACTTGCAGATGTGCTAGCTGGAAGCGTAGTTCCCACAGGTGTGGTGGCATCACCCAGAGTGCTCGAAGGTGGGATAACTTGTGTGGTGCTGCTGAGCGACGTGGTGCTGGCTCCACTGGTGGATGATGGTGTGCTCTCTTCTGTTGTTGGAGGAACAGGGGTGCTGCTTACTTCCACAGCTGTAGATGTGTCAGCCTCCGTACTGGTTGCCACGGGTGTGGTGGTGTCAGCAGGAGTGCTGGATGGTGTGCTGAGCTCTGTGGAAGTGGTGAACAAGGTGGTACTGGCCACGGTAGTGGATGAGGGAGCGCTTCCTTCTGTTGTGAGAGTGACAGGTCTGATAGTAGCTTCCAGAGCTGGAGGAGAGGAGCTGGCCTCAGGGGACGTCCACACAGGCGTGCTGGTTTCCCCAGGAGTGCTTGAGTGTGCAGCAACCTCAGTGGAAGTGATTGATGGGGTGCTCCTGACCAGAGCGCTGGATGACGGCGTGCTCTCCTCCGTTGTGGTAGGAACAGTGGTGTCTGTGACTTCCAAAGTGGTAGGTGTGCTAGCTTCAGTAGTGGTTCCGACAGCAGTGGTGGTATCAACAGGAGTGCTGTGGGGAGTGGTGACATCTGTGGAAGTGGTAAAGGAGGTGGTGCTCACTAGAGGAGTGGAAGATGGAGTGATTTCTCCTGTTGTTGGATGAAAAGGGCGCGTAGGGCCTTCCACAGTTGAAGGAGAGGAGCTGGCCTCAGTGGAGGTCCGCACAGGCGTGGTAGTCTCAACAGGAGTGGCCGAGGGTGTGCTCACCTCAGTGGAAGGGCTTCCTGGGGTGCCGCTGACGACAGCAGTGGATGACAGTGTGCTCCCTTCTGTGGTTGGAGGAAACCTAGTGCTGCTTACTTCCACAGCTGGAGAGGTGCCAGCCTCCGCAGTGGATCCCACGGGCGTGCTGGTGTCACCAGCAGTGCTGGATGGTGTGCTGATGTCCGCGGCAGTGGCGAACCAGGTGGTACTGGCCACAGTCGTGGCTGGTGGAGTGCTTCCTTCTGTCGTTGGAGTAAAGGGGCTGGAAGGGCCTTCCGCAGTTGAAGGAGAAGAGCTGGCGTCCGTGGATGTCGGAACAGGTGTGCTGGTTTCCACAGGGGTGGTGGTGGGTGTGCTCCCCTCAGCAGAGGTACTACCTGGGCTGCTGCTCACTGGAGCAGTAGGTGACAGTGTGCTCCCTACTGTCGTTGCAGGAACAGCAGTGCTCCTTACTTCCACAGTTGTTGAAGGGCTGGCTTCAGTGGCAGTTCCCAGCGGTGTGCTGGTGTCACCAGGACGTGTAGAGGGTGTAGTGATGTCGGGAGAAGTGCTTACAGGGGTACTGCTCACTAGAGCGGTGGGTGGCTGCGTGCTCCCCACTGAAGTTGGAGGAACAGCAGTGCTCATCACTTGCACACTTGTAGATGTGCCAGCTTCAGTAGCGGTTCCCACAGGTGTGGTGGTGTCACCAGGACTTGTGGAGGGTGTAGTCATCTGAGCAGAAGTGCTCACAGGGGTGCTGCCGAGTAGGGTGGTGGATGGCAGTGTGCTCACTTCTGTTGCTGCTGGAGGAGTCGTACTTGCTGCTTGCACAGTGGTAGATGTGCTAGCTCCAAGAGTAGTTGCCGCAGGTGTGGTCGTGTCAAGCGGAGGGCTGGATGGTGGGATAACTTGTGTGGTGCTGCTCTGCGAGGTGGTTCCGGCTGCAGTACTGGGTGATGGTGTGCTCTCTTCTGTTGTTGCAGGAACAGGGGTGCTGCTTACTTGCACCTCGGTAGATGTGCTAGCTTCAGTACTGCTTCCCACAGGCGTGGTGGTATCCGGAGGAGGGAAGGAGGGTGTGAGGGTCTCTGGGGAAGTGGTCAAAGAGGGTGTGCTGACTAGAGCAGTGGATGATAGGGTGCTTCCTTCTGTCGTTGGAGTAAGCAGACCGGTAGTGGCTTCCCCAGACGTCGGAAAGGAGCTGGCCTGAGTGGAGGTCCACACTGCTGTGCTGGTACCAACAGCAGTGGCTGAGGGTGTGGTCACCCCAGCAGGGCTACTCACTGGGCTGCTGCTGACAAGAGCGGTAGATGTCAGTGTGATCCCCGCTGTTGCTGGAGGAACAGTGGTGCTTGCTACTTCCACACTTGCAGATGTGCTAGCTGGAAGCGTAGTTCCCACAGGTGTGGTGGCATCACCCAGAGTGCTCGAAGGTGGGATAACTTGTGTGGTGCTGCTGAGCGACGTGGTGCTGGCTCCACTGGTGGATGATGGTGTGCTCTCTTCTGTTGTTGGAGGAACAGGGGTGCTGCTTACTTCCACAGCTGTAGATGTGTCAGCCTCCGTACTGGTTGCCACGGGTGTGGTGGTGTCAGCAGGAGTGCTGGATGGTGTGCTGAGCTCTGTGGAAGTGGTGAACAAGGTGGTACTGGCCACGGTAGTGGATGAGGGAGCGCTTCCTTCTGTTGTGAGAGTGACAGGTCTGATAGTAGCTTCCAGAGCTGGAGGAGAGAGCTGGCCTCAGGGGACGTCCACACAGGTGTGCTGGTTTCCCCAGGAGTGCTTGAGGGTGCAGCAACCTCAGTGGAAGTGATTGATGGGGTGCTCCTGACCAGAGCGCTGGATGACGGCGTGCTCTCCTCCGTTGTGGTAGGAACAGTGGTGGCTGTGACTTCCAAAGTGGTAGGTGTGCTAGCTTCAGTAGTGGTTCCGACAGCAGTGGTGGTATCAACAGGAGTGCTGTGGGGAGTGGTGACATCTGTGGAAGTGGTAAAGGAGGTGGTGCTCACTAGAGGAGTGGAAGATGGAGTGATTTCTCCTGTTGTTGGATGAAAAGGGCGCGTAGGGCCTTCCACAGTTGAAGGAGAGGAGCTGGCCTCAGTGGAGGTCCGCACAGGCGTGGTAGTCTCAACAGGAGTGGCCGAGGGTGAGCTCACCTCAGTGGAAGGGCTTCCTGGGGTGCCGCTGACGACAGCAGTGGATGACAGTGTGCTCCCTTCTGTGGTTGGAGGAAACCTAGTGCTGCTTACTTCCACAGCTGGAGAGGTGCCAGCCTCCGCAGTGGATCCCACGGGCGTGCTGGTGTCACCAGCAGTGCTGGATGGTGTGCTGATGTCCGCGGCAGTGGCGAACCAGGTGGTACTGGCCACAGTCGTGGCTGGTGGAGTGCTTCCTTCTGTCGTTGGAGTAAAGGGGCTGGAAGGGCCTTCCGCAGTTGAAGGAGAAGAGCTGGCGTCCGTGGATGTCGGAACAGGTGTGCTGGTTTCCACAGGGGTGGTGGTGGGTGTGCTCCCCTCAGCAGAGGTAGTTCCTGGGCTGCTGCTCACTGGAGCAGTAGGTGACAGTGTGCTCCCTACTGTCGTTGCAGGAACAGCAGTGCTCCTTACTTCCACAGTTGTTGAAGGGCTGGCTTCAGTGGCAGTTCCCAGCGGTGTGCTGGTGTCACCAGGACGTGTAGAGGGTGTAGTGATGTCGGGAGAAGTGCTTACAGGGGTACTGCTCACTAGAGCGGTGGGTGGCTGCGTGCTCCCCACTGAAGTTGGAGGAACAGCAGTGCTCATCACTTGCACACTTGTAGATGTGCCAGCTTCAGTAGCGGTTCCCACAGGTGTGGTGGTGTCACCAGGACTTGTGGAGGGTGTAGTCATCTGAGCAGAAGTGCTCACAGGGGTGCTGCCGAGTAGGGTGGTGGATGGCAGTGTGCTCACTTCTGTTGCTGCTGGAGGAGTCGTACTTGCTGCTTGCACAGTGGTAGATGTGCTAGCTCCAAGAGTAGTTGCCGCAGGTGTGGTCGTGTCAAGCGGAGGGCTGGATGGTGGGATAACTTGTGTGGTGCTGCTCTGCGAGGTGGTTCCGGCTGCAGTACTGGGTGATGGTGTGCTCTCTTCTGTTGTTGCAGGAACAGGGGTGCTGCTTACTTGCACCTCGGTAGATGTGCTAGCTTCAGTACTGCTTCCCACAGGCGTGGTGGTATCCGGAGGAGGGAAGGAGGGTGTGAGGGTCTCTGGGGAAGTGGTCAAAGAGGGTGTGCTGACTAGAGCAGTGGATGATAGGGTGCTTCCTTCTGTCGTTGGAGTAAGCAGACCGGTAGTGGCTTCCCCAGACGTCGGAAAGGAGCTGGCCTGAGTGGAGGTCCACACTGCTGTGCTGGTACCAACAGCAGTGGCTGAGGGTGTGGTCACCCCAGCAGGGCTACTCACTGGGCTGCTGCTGACAAGAGCGGTAGATGTCAGTGTGATCCCCGCTGTTGCTGGAGGAACAGTGGTGCTTGCTACTTCCACACTTGCAGATGTGCTAGCTGGAAGCGTAGTTCCCACAGGTGTGGTGGCATCACCCAGAGTGCTCGAAGGTGGGATAACTTGTGTGGTGCTGCTGAGCGACGTGGTGCTGGCTCCACTGGTGGATGATGGTGTGCTCTCTTCTGTTGTTGGAGGAACAGGGGTGCTGCTTACTTCCACAGCTGTAGATGTGTCAGCCTCCGTACTGGTTGCCACGGGTGTGGTGGTGTCAGCAGGAGTGCTGGATGGTGTGCTGAGCTCTGTGGAAGTGGTGAACAAGGTGGTACTGGCCACGGTAGTGGATGAGGGAGCGCTTCCTTCTGTTGTGAGAGTGACAGGTCTGATAGTAGCTTCCAGAGCTGGAGGAGAGGAGCTGGCCTCAGGGGACGTCCACACAGGCGTGCTGGTTTCCCCAGGAGTGCTTGAGGTGCAGCAACCTCAGTGGAAGTGATTGATGGGGTGCTCCTGACCAGAGCGCTGGATGACGGCGTGCTCTCCTCCGTTGTGGTAGGAACAGTGGTGGCTGTGACTTCCAAAGTGGTAGGTGTGCTAGCTTCAGTAGTGGTTCCGACAGCAGTGGTGGTATCAACAGGAGTGCTGTGGGGAGTGGTGACATCTGTGGAAGTGGTAAAGGAGGTGGTGCTCACTAGAGGAGTGGAAGATGGAGTGATTTCTCCTGTTGTTGGATGAAAAGGGCGCGTAGGGCCTTCCACAGTTGAAGGAGAGGAGCTGGCCTCAGTGGAGGTCCGCACAGGCGTGGTAGTCTCAACAGGAGTGGCCGAGGGTGTGCTCACCTCAGTGGAAGGGCTTCCTGGGGTGCCGCTGACGACAGCAGTGGATGACAGTGTGCTCCCTTCTGTGGTTGGAGGAAACCTAGTGCTGCTTACTTCCACAGCTGGAGAGGTGCCAGCCTCCGCAGTGGATCCCACGGGCGTGCTGGTGTCACCAGCAGTGCTGGATGGTGTGCTGATGTCCGCGGCAGTGGCGAACCAGGTGGTACTGGCCACAGTCGTGGCTGGTGGAGTGCTTCCTTCTGTCGTTGGAGTAAAGGGGCTGGAAGGGCCTTCCGCAGTTGAAGGAGAAGAGCTGGCGTCCGTGGATGTCGGAACAGGTGTGCTGGTTTCCACAGGGGTGGTGGTGGGTGTGCTCCCCTCAGCAGAGGTAGTTCCTGGGCTGCTGCTCACTGGAGCAGTAGGTGACAGTGTGCTCCCTACTGTCGTTGCAGGAACAGCAGTGCTCCTTACTTCCACAGTTGTTGAAGGGCTGGCTTCAGTGGCAGTTCCCAGCGGTGTGCTGGTGTCACCAGGACGTGTAGAGGGTGTAGTGATGTCGGGAGAAGTGCTTACAGGGGTACTGCTCACTAGAGCGGTGGGTGGCTGCGTGCTCCCCACTGAAGTTGGAGGAACAGCAGTGCTCATCACTTGCACACTTGTAGATGTGCCAGCTTCAGTAGCGGTTCCCACAGGTGTGGTGGTGTCACCAGGACTTGTGGAGGGTGTAGTCATCTGAGCAGAAGTGCTCACAGGGGTGCTGCCGAGTAGGGTGGTGGATGGCAGTGTGCTCACTTCTGTTGCTGCTGGAGGAGTCGTACTTGCTGCTTGCACAGTGGTAGATGTGCTAGCTCCAAGAGTAGTTGCCGCAGGTGTGGTCGTGTCAAGCGGAGGGCTGGATGGTGGGATAACTTGTGTGGTGCTGCTCTGCGAGGTGGTTCCGGCTGCAGTACTGGGTGATGGTGTGCTCTCTTCTGTTGTTGCAGGAACAGGGGTGCTGCTTACTTGCACCTCGGTAGATGTGCTAGCTTCAGTACTGCTTCCCACAGGCGTGGTGGTATCCGGAGGAGGGAAGGAGGGTGTGAGGGTCTCTGGGGAAGTGGTCAAAGAGGGTGTGCTGACTAGAGCAGTGGATGATAGGGTGCTTCCTTCTGTCGTTGGAGTAAGCAGACCGGTAGTGGCTTCCCCAGACGTCGGAAAGGAGCTGGCCTGAGTGGAGGTCCACACTGCTGTGCTGGTACCAACAGCAGTGGCTGAGGGTGTGGTCACCCCAGCAGGGCTACTCACTGGGCTGCTGCTGACAAGAGCGGTAGATGTCAGTGTGATCCCCGCTGTTGCTGGAGGAACAGTGGTGCTTGCTACTTCCACACTTGCAGATGTGCTAGCTGGAAGCGTAGTTCCCACAGGTGTGGTGGCATCACCCAGAGTGCTCGAAGGTGGGATAACTTGTGTGGTGCTGCTGAGCGACGTGGTGCTGGCTCCACTGGTGGATGATGGTGTGCTCTCTTCTGTTGTTGGAGGAACAGGGGTGCTGCTTACTTCCACAGCTGTAGATGTGTCAGCCTCCGTACTGGTTGCCACGGGTGTGGTGGTGTCAGCAGGAGTGCTGGATGGTGTGCTGAGCTCTGTGGAAGTGGTGAACAAGGTGGTACTGGCCACGGTAGTGGATGAGGGAGCGCTTCCTTCTGTTGTGAGAGTGACAGGTCTGATAGTAGCTTCCAGAGCTGGAGGAGAGGAGCTGGCCTCAGGGGACGTCCACACAGGTGTGCTGGTTTCCCCAGGAGTGCTTGAGGGTGCAGCAACCTCAGTGGAAGTGATTGATGGGGTGCTCCTGACCAGAGCGCTGGATGACGGCGTGCTCTCCTCCGTTGTGGTAGGAACAGTGGTGGCTGTGACTTCCAAAGTGGTAGGTGTGCTAGCTTCAGTAGTGGTTCCGACAGCAGTGGTGGTATCAACAGGAGTGCTGTGGGGAGTGGTGACATCTGTGGAAGTGGTAAAGGAGGTGGTGCTCACTAGAGGAGTGGAAGATGGAGTGATTTCTCCTGTTGTTGGATGAAAAGGGCGCGTAGGGCCTTCCACAGTTGAAGGAGAGGAGCTGGCCTCAGTGGAGGTCCGCACAGGCGTGGTAGTCTCAACAGGAGTGGCCGAGGGTGTGCTCACCTCAGTGGAAGGGCTTCCTGGGGTGCCGCTGACGACAGCAGTGGATGACAGTGTGCTCCCTTCTGTGGTTGGAGGAAACCTAGTGCTGCTTACTTCCACAGCTGGAGAGGTGCCAGCCTCCGCAGTGGATCCCACGGGCGTGCTGGTGTCACCAGCAGTGCTGGATGGTGTGCTGATGTCCGCGGCAGTGGCGAACCAGGTGGTACTGGCCACAGTCGTGGCTGGTGGAGTGCTTCCTTCTGTCGTTGGAGTAAAGGGGCTGGAAGGGCCTTCCGCAGTTGAAGGAGAAGAGCTGGCGTCCGTGGATGTCGGAACAGGTGTGCTGGTTTCCACAGGGGTGGTGGTGGGTGTGCTCCCTCAGCAGAGGTAGTTCCTGGGCTGCTGCTCACTGGAGCAGTAGGTGACAGTGTGCTCCCTACTGTCGTTGCAGGAACAGCAGTGCTCCTTACTTCCACAGTTGTTGAAGGGCTGGCTTCAGTGGCAGTTCCCAGCGGTGTGCTGGTGTCACCAGGACGTGTAGAGGGTGTAGTGATGTCGGGAGAAGTGCTTACAGGGGTACTGCTCACTAGAGCGGTGGGTGGCTGCGTGCTCCCCACTGAAGTTGGAGGAACAGCAGTGCTCATCACTTGCACACTTGTAGATGTGCCAGCTTCAGTAGCGGTTCCCACAGGTGTGGTGGTGTCACCAGGACTTGTGGAGGGTGTAGTCATCTGAGCAGAAGTGCTCACAGGGGTGCTGCCGAGTAGGGTGGTGGATGGCAGTGTGCTCACTTCTGTTGCTGCTGGAGGAGTCGTACTTGCTGCTTGCACAGTGGTAGATGTGCTAGCTCCAAGAGTAGTTGCCGCAGGTGTGGTCGTGTCAAGCGGAGGGCTGGATGGTGGGATAACTTGTGTGGTGCTGCTCTGCGAGGTGGTTCCGGCTGCAGTACTGGGTGATGGTGTGCTCTCTTCTGTTGTTGCAGGAACAGGGGTGCTGCTTACTTGCACCTCGGTAGATGTGCTAGCTTCAGTACTGCTTCCCACAGGCGTGGTGGTATCCGGAGGAGGGAAGGAGGGTGTGAGGGTCTCTGGGGAAGTGGTCAAAGAGGGTGTGCTGACTAGAGCAGTGGATGATAGGGTGCTTCCTTCTGTCGTTGGAGTAAGCAGACCGGTAGTGGCTTCCCCAGACGTCGGAAAGGAGCTGGCCTGAGTGGAGGTCCACACTGCTGTGCTGGTACCAACAGCAGTGGCTGAGGGTGTGGTCACCCCAGCAGGGCTACTCACTGGGCTGCTGCTGACAAGAGCGGTAGATGTCAGTGTGATCCCCGCTGTTGCTGGAGGAACAGTGGTGCTTGCTACTTCCACACTTGCAGAT